CCCTCCTCTTCTCCCTCTAAAAAAACATAAAAATAGTGGGTTACTGATTTTAATTTGTTTTGTGGATTTTCATTCTCTGTGGCAGTGGTTTTCAACCAAGGGTGATTTTGCCCACAGAGGACACTTGGCATTGTCTAGAAACATTTTTGGTTGTCACCTGGAAAGGGTGCTAGAGGAATCTAGTGAATAGAGACAAACAAAAACAATTAGTTAAGAATTTCAAAATACCATTGTAACACACATATATTAGTTTCACCAAAAGGAAAAAGAAAGTAAATCATATATTAACCACCTTAGAATTCATTGTGTATAATTAAAATAAAATTTGGTTGTCATGTACCTTAATTATTAATTTCTAATACATAACAGAGCTTAACCATTAATTACCTGTTATAAGAATGCAATTTTTGAACTTTTCTCTAAATGCTATTACTGGTAAAACACTTGGAAAATGTAGCATGATTTTTCATTTTTATTGTTTCAGAGATTTCTCCTGAAGGGGAGAGTTACAAACCCTTAATTGCTGGAGAAGAACAAGTAAATTGTATTTCACTTGAAATGAACCCATCAGCTACTGTTGATTCTTCTGTTGAGACAAACAGTCCAAAGTTTAGGGAGGTGTCTCCACAGATATCATTGAAACCAGAAGGAAATGTGGATGGTATGTGTTAAAGGGTCAAAATGAGCTGTATTTAATTGAATAATACTTTGATCTCTTCTTTTTTTTTAAGTTACTAATATTTTAATGTGCCTATGAATCTCCAAGAAGGGGATATGCTATGTATCATTTACCAAATTCATTTGTCCATGAAACTCTTGAGGCCATGTCTTCCTCGAGAAACTTTTGTTGCCTAGAAGGAATTATTTTGGGTTTTCTCTTCTAAATTCTCCTTATAAACCAAACAGTTCTTTCTTCAGTCAACCTCTGTCTTGCACTTCATGAGAGACTACTAAAAACGGTAGCTGCTTAGATAGTTCCTTAGCTAATCACTGAGTTTGTTCAGAACATTTTCTGTTGTTCTTGTTTTCACAGGTACCAAATTTTCTGCTACTGTATAACAAGAATCCCCTTTTCTCTAGCCTCCAATAACTTTTTTTCACTGGCCAGTCTCTCACCAACTGTCCCTTTGAAGCCTTTCAACTTCTGCCTGTTGCCCAGTCCCAAAGCCAGTGCACATGTTTTAGGCTTTTGTCATGTCAGCACCCATTTTTCAGATAAGAAATTCTGTTTTAGTTATCTATTCATGGAAAACAAATTAGTCTTACAGCTTAGTGGCTTAAAATGACTATTATGTTTTATCTTACACTTTTGTGAGTTAGGAATTGGGAAGATCCTTCTCTGCCGTGTGGAGAAACCCTTAATTGCTGGAGAAGAACAATTGCTGGCATCACTCAGGGGTATTCTGCTGTCAGCTGGGCTGATCTGGAGCGTGCAAGATGATGTCACTCCCTGTCCTGGCAGGGCTCAGCTGGGCCTGCTCAACTGGGCTCCTTTTTTTTTTTCATTTTAGTCTCATGGCCTTGCCATTCAGTCTTTCCTGAATAGTTAAGCTTCTTTTAGGGTGGCTTTGGCTTCCAGATTCCAAGGTGGACAATGCCAGTTCTCTTAAAAGCTAGATCTAGAAAGGACATAGCAACATTTCAGTCGTACTCAGTTGGTCAAGGCCATCACAGCACTGGGCCAGCACAAGGGGAGGGGAGAAAGAGGCCCTTTTCTAGATGAGACAGATGTCAGGGACTTGCTGTATGTGTGACCACCTTTAATTCACCACAATAACTTAAATATTTTTATTCATTAGAATCATAGTTAGTACGTATCATAGCCTTTTATTTTTTAAAAAAAGCACACAAACACTTTTAGGCATAGAATAGAGGCTGTATAGCCTAGTGCAAGAGTCAGCAAACTTTCTAAAAGAGCCACAGGGTATATATTTTAGACTTAGCAAGCAAAACAATCACAGATCTACTTTGTACAATGAGTCATATTTATATGCTTAAGGTGCTACAAAACAATTGTTCATGAAAAAGTTAATAAAAAAGAATTTCCCCCAAGTGCTTACCTTATATGAGTAACCCCCAAAAGTCATTTGAATAAAAGATAAAAACTTTAAGGATTGATACAATATCAATTATCTTTCTAAATAGGACAGCTAATTGGAAACTTTTTAAATCTAGAAGGAAAGAGTATTTGGATTTTAGGAAAAAAGAGGAGATGCTGCTGGCTTAAATAAGATAGCATTGATATCAGAATTGGAGAGGAGTTAACGAAGAAGAAAAACTCTTCTCATTATTATTTATTTTCAGAAAATATCAACCAGGTAAAAAATGAGTCACTGCCAGAAAACAGAAGTAGTACCTGGTTATTAATTGTTTGAAGGTCTAGGAAATTAGATTTAGTGCACTTCAATTATGTTCTTAATATCATTGTAAAAATCTAGGTAATAGGATTTTTTTCTTTTTTGGTTTTTTGAAGATAGATTTTGGTAATTGAACTTCCCTGTCAGTTATTAATCCATGATAGTACAGTCTATTCTTCTTCCTTGTTTCTAACCATAGATATTGTTTTTTTAAGCTACTTTTTATACCTTCTCTAAAAGCAAATTGTATATTACCGAAATTTTAGGAAAGAAAAAATTTTATTTACTAATAAAAATACAGTGTGCAATATTTCTTTTCAGTATTTTTATTGCAATGAAAAATTCAAAAGGAAAAATCTATCATTTCAAACGCAGCTGAACTAGAGAGTTAACACAATACTTTTTCCTGTTATCATTAATATATTAGCCTAAAACTAGGTAATGATAATTTCTAGAAATTCATTCCATTTTCTCTAAACTAATTTTGCTTTGAGATTTTTTTGTTATGCTTTTGCTTTCAGAACCTGATGATTTGGAAACAGAAGTTCTAGGAGAGCCATGTGGAACAAACAAAGAAGATGGCTTACCTTTCCCTGTAACTGATGTATGGATTAGTGAGACGAAGGAAACAAAGGAAACTGAGTATGTTACCTCTTTTTTCTTGTATGTCAAAACCTGGATCCCGTTTTGTAATTCATTTTTTCAAAAAGTATGTTTTTATTGATTTCAGAAAGGAAGGGAGAGGGAGAGAGAGATAGAAACATCAATGATGAGAGAGAATCATTGATTGGCTGCCTACTGCATGTCCCACATTGAAGATTGGCCCGCAACCCAGGCATATGCCCTGACCAGAAATTGAACCATGACCTTCTGGCTCATAGGTGGATATTCAACCACTGAGCCCCGCCAGCTGGGCTATAATTCACTTTTAAGAAATACTATCATGGCCGGGTCAGTGTGACTCAGTGGTTGAGTGTCTACCTATGAACCAGGAGGTTTGGTTCGATTCCCGGTAGGGGCACATGCCTGGGTTGCAGGCTCAATCCCCAGTGTGGAGCATGCAGGAGGCAGCTGATTCTCTCTCATCATTGATGTTTCTATCTCTATCTCTCTCTCCCTTCCTCTCTGAAATGAATAAAAATATAGTTTAAAAAATACTGTCATAATCTAATATTACCCTATATCTTATACCTTATAAAAGTAATTTAATTTTTGGACATTATACTCATATGGTTCAGAAATCAACAAGTATATAAAGACATACAGTAAGAAGTCTCTTTCCACCTCTATCCCCATCCAGCAAATTCCCACTCTCCTCCTTCAAATATCTTTAATATGTACATAAGCAAAAACAAATATATAGTCCACCTCCCTTTTAAATATAGTTGTTAATATAATGTACACAGTATTTTCAACACTTTACATTTTTAGTCAGTAATCCAGGAATATTTTTCATATTAATACATACAGTGCTTCCTCTATTTTATGACTATTTAGTATTCCATTTTATGGATAAACCACAACTCAGCGTCCTTTATGAATTCATATGCTGCAATGTATTCATTACCTTTTAATAAAGTCATTTTGCATGAATGTAAATATATCTATAGGATAGATACATAGCTGTGTAATTAATGGGTCAATTCCATTTTTATAAAATGCATTTGTAATTCAATTATTGTTCTCCCCAAAGGTTGTACTCATTTATGCTTTCAGAAAAAAATGTATAAAATGTCTTATTTTCCCCATAGCCTTGCTAACCTTTTATTATCAGAGTTTTTATTTTTGCCAATCTGATAGTATCATGGTTTAGGGTCTTAGTTTATCTATCTTATTATTGGTAAAGTTGAGCATAACTTTTCAAATGTTTAAGTTTCATTTCTATTGTCTGTGAGTTTCTGTTTATATGGAAATAGGTCTAAAATATTGAGTGATTATTGAAACAAATTTATATTGAATAAAACATTTCCATATACCAGAAAATATAATTCTATGTAAAATCATTATATATGTGCATATATATGTCTGTAATTTTAAAGGAAAAGTATGGTCGAATGTCCACCAAACTGATAACAGCACGGGAAACTAGGATTTGAGTGGTTAGGGGTGTCTTAAAAGAAACACTACTTTTTTTTTTAATTGAGGTAAATTTATATAACATAAAGTTTATCATTTTAACTATTTTTAAATGTACAATTCAGTAATATTTAATACATTCGCAGTGTTGTCCAACCATTATCACTGTCTGGTTCCAGAACATTTTTACCACCCCGAAAGGAAACCCTGTACCCGTACAACAGCACTCATTTTCCCATCCTCCCAGCCCCTGGCAATCACTAACGTGCTTTCTGTCTCTATAGATTTGCCTATTCTGGATATTTCATATGAAATAATACAATATGTGGCTTTTTGAATCTGTCTTCTTTCACTTAACATAATGTTTTTAAAGTTCATCTTTGTTGTAGCATGGATCAGTACTTCATTCCTTTTATGGCCAAACATTTTTCCATTATATGAATATAGCATACATTTTTATCCATTCAGCAGTTGATATACATTCAGCAGATGATGATGGGTCATTTTCAGTGTTGTTTCTACCTTTTGGCTGTTGTTAATAGCAATTCTGTGAACATTTGTGTACAGGTTTTCATTTGAATACCTGTATTCAGTTCTTTTGGCTGTATACCTGGAAGTGGAATTTCTGCAGCATATGATAATCCTGTGTTTATCTTTTTGAGGAACCAAGGAATACTACATTTTGAATGAAGAAATGTATTACTTGTATGATTAAAAAGAAATAGTTTAAAAATTAAAAATAGAAAATTGTTCAAAATTTGTAACTAAAAAAGTAAAAACTACTTAAATTTGATATAGGTGAAAAGTATTAAGAAGATAAAAACTGCCTATGAACCAAACCCACAGAGATAAATTACTGCTACCTTCTGGAATATATTCTTCTAGTCTAGAGATTTTCAACTGTTAAAAGAAATGGTGAGGGAAGTTGTTGTGAATGATTATGATTGCTGAAGATTTGAACGGGGTAAAAAATATATTGTGCTTATGAGGAAGTATACATAGAAATGAAAAAGATATTTAAGAGAGAAATCACAGCGTGCCAGTGAAGTTTAGTTCTGTTTTTTTTATATTTGAGAGTGCTATTTCTAGTAAACTGTGAAGTTGTTTGTTTGTTTTTAAACTGGTATACCTATATGTGACAGATTAGAAGATAGGATCACTATTCAGCAAAATGAAGTTTCTGAAGAAGGAATCTTAAGGAAGGTGGATCAACTTAGTGAAGTTCATATAGGTAAGCATCCTTGTATTGGTCTAATTACGTTCTGGAAGGTTGTGAACACTAACCTGTTTTATTTGGACAATATATTAATAGAAACTATTCCTTTTCAGTCACCTCAATCATTTAAAAAATGTAATAGACATAGAGCACTGGACTCTGCATTTATAAGCCTGGATTGCTTGACAGTGTGAGCAATAAAACGTTTAGGTCATGTATTTTATTAAATGTTCAAAATGAAAAGAATTGCTTCCCCAAACTAAGGCAATATACTAAGGACATTCATAAGTTGTCTTGTTTTCAAAAGTTAATTAAAATATAAAAAGCATACTTTTTTTCTATCTAACTTATAGGAATAAAGATAAACTGAAACTAAATATGAGTGTCTAAACAGTGTTTCTTCACATTTTCTTGCATCTGTGTGTACATTTTAGAGTTTCCAATGTGATGGAAGTATATAACATTAAGTCTTTTTTCTGAAAATGAGACATTATATCCTGTTAAAGATTACTTATCAGATAGTACAATTACATACAGCAGGTCCTCTAATAACATCATTTTGTTCAGAGTCATTTCTTTATAACATTGATGAGACATAGTAGGAACTTACTCTTGTTTATATCAGTTAGCCTATTGTAAAATTGGTTTTGTTATAAAGTTGCAGACATTAAGTGAGGGCTATATATATATTTTGATTTTGTTTTTCTGGTAGACATGAAGGTTTTTTGCTAGAATTTGTGTTAAATACTATGCCTTATCAATATAACTTAGAAATTTTATTTAAGTGCTATATAGATTTATCTCATAATTTTTGCTTTACACCACAGAACCTGGAATAGGTGATTCTCCGCACTCTAAATGTGATGTAGATAAATCTATGCATCCAGAACCATTTTTCCATAAAGTGGTTCACCCAGAACACTTGAATGTAGTCTCTCAAATTCAGTCCATTCTGTGTTCACCAGAAGAATCCTTTCCACTTCGATCTCACTCTGGTTCACCACCAAAAAGGAAAAACAAGAATTCCTTGCTGATTGGACTTTCAACTGGTTTATTTGATGCAAACAACCCAAAGGCAAGTATGCTCCTCACATGGAAAATGTTATTCATTTGGTAACAGTTTTATGGATTGTTTGTCTTTGATAAACTGTAATATTGAGTTTTAATCTCTTAAAAACACAAGCACATATACTCAGACATACATCAAAACAATTTACAGAAACAACAAAAAAACTTCCATTTTATCATCTGAGATACTGAAAACAATCAGGACAAAAACTCTTTCATTGGCTCCCTGTTCAAGGTTCTTTTTATAGGGTTTTCTTTTATTTAGTAAAATATCTCTCTTACATTATCTTTCTTTCCCACTACCCAACTCAACTTCCAATGTTAGTATGAGACTAAGTTTAAGCAATGTATTTTAAATGGATAGAAGTATCATATTGCCTAATTTGTACATAGAAAGATTAATAGATGTTCATATCACTTTCTGATAGAAGTTTTTCAGACACATTTCTCACTTGCTAAATATGTAACCAGTTTTTTCTTGATAAGAAAATAGAGCATTATCTCTATAGAGAATTTAAAAATACAAATAAAGAAATAACATATTATTTTATATTACTTTTCATATATATAATTTTTATATGTAACTTTTTACCAAAATAGAATACATGCCTAATCTTTTTTTCACCTGCTTTTCTATGTAATATGTATTATAAAATTATTATAAATAATCTACAAAAATAGCATTTTGTCATATTGTCAAAAAGTCTCTCATATCATCTTTAATGGCCACAGATTCCATTTGTTCTACTATATCATTATTTTTAAACCAATCTTTTATTTAGGTTTGGGCCTTTATGTTTCAGTTTTTGTGATTGCCATCCCCTGTATCTTTTTACATATCCACAATTATTTCCATAAAATAAATTCCTGTAAGTGCAATTTAAAAATACATATATTGCCTAATTTCCCCATTAGAAAACAGTTTATAGTGCTGTCAGTTGTATGTGAGAGTCTATACTCTAAATAGCACCAACTATTATCATTTACTTAAAAATTATGTATTTAATGAATGAATAATGGTGTTAATTTTTTTAAATTTGTGTTTTTGTATTTCCTCGGAAGGTTGAATATTTTTAATATATTTATCTATATATGAATGAGTTGTCTGAGTTCTTTTTTTTGGTTTAATTCTCACCTGAGAGAGAGAAAAACGTAGATGTGAGAGAGACACATCGATTGGTTATCTCACACACTCCCCAACCAGGCCAGCGATCGAGCCTGCAACTCAGGTACATGTCCTGACTGGAATTGAAGCTGGGACCCTTCAGTCTGCAGGCTAACACTCTTACCACTGAGCCAAACCAGCAAGGGCTGAATTCTTTTGTCCTTTATTGTTTTTTAAATATGTCATTTTGATTTTTCATTTAATTTTCCAATTAGATAAGTTTTGTGGAGTATTTTCTTATGCTTAAGTATAGATATTGCTAAATACTCTCACTTATTTAATAGTAGTTAGATTTTCAAAGATATAAACTTGGTGTAACAGACAAGGATTATCATATAACTCATGTACTTCTTTTGCATTAAAGGTGTATAGCTGTCTTTAGCCCAAAGCTTTTTAAAAACCTTATTGTTGTCTTTAAAGAGAGGGAAGGCAGCGGTGAGGGTCACGGGGAGAGATTAATTGGGGAACTTACATGCATATATACATAGCCCATGGACACAGTCACTAGTGTGGTAAAGGCTTGGGAGGGGTAGGTACAGGGTGGAGGGAGTCAATAGGGGAAAAAGTTAAGAGGACATCTGTAATACTTTCAACAATAAAGATAAATTTAAAAATAAATACAATTATGACTCCTTACATAATACATTCAATTATTTGATTTACTTTCATGACCTTAGTTTACACCTCACTAGTTCTGTAAAAGTACTTTGGGAGAAAAAGGCAAGAAAAAAACATTAGGAAATCAAAGCAATCTGTAGCCATTTCAGACAAGGACAGAAAACCATATCTGCCTATCCCATAAATCTCTGAAATAATGCTGATCTTGAATCGTGAAGATAAGCATTTTTATAATCTGTTTCCTAAAATGGGATAATTTAACCTCTTACAAAGATTTCTTGTTATAGCAAATGTAAAGTGGGGAAAATATTAATGTACAATTTACAACTAGCACATGTACCTTAATGTCTTCTTTTCATTTGCTAAAATATCAGTCTATAATAATAAAAGTGTAATATGCTAATTAGACCAGACAACTGAATGACCTTCCAGACAACCTTCTGGATGAAGCCGGGGCTGCGAGGGCCAAGGCTGTGAGGGCCGAACCCCTTGCACGAATTTCGTGCATTGGGCCTCTAGTTCTTAGATAATGTTCATGATTTTTGCCTTTGGTAGGTGCTCATAATTTTTTAATTAGTGTTTTAAATTCATTTTTAACCCAGTTTATGGGTTGGAGTGAGCAAATATTTATAAAAACTATTTTTTAAATCCTCACCTGAGGATATGTTTTTTGATGATGAGAGAGAGAGGGGGGAAAAACATCAATGTGAAAGAGAAACATCTATTGGTTGCTTCCCATATGCTCACCAACTATGATCAAACCTGAAACCTAGATATGTGCCCTGGCCGGTAATCGAACCTGCAATCTTTTTGGTGTACGGGATGATGCTCAAACTAACTGAGCCACCTGGTCAGGGCTATTGAAACTATTTCAAGGGTGAAATGTTATATTTTAATTGCAGTAAACAGAAGCTAAACAGATGTGCTCATCATAAACCATTTCACAGTATAACCAGAGTATTACTAATTAATAATTTTTATGAAAAATACTACTGACAAAAAAGTGAGTTGCAGGTTTTTTATGTTTTAAAGTTTTCTAAAACATTGATCTCCTGTTTGATTTATAATGGCACCAAATGCTACTAGCTGTGTGAAATCATTCTATAAAGAATCTAGAAAAAAAGATTAGTCTGACTAAATAAAGATGTAAGGTGACATGTTATAGATAGCTATTTTCAGGAAGATCTCTATGATTGTTAAAACTATAGAATATTACTTTAACAACATGAAAAAACTTAGAATTATAGAACTGAAAGTTTGCTTATATAAAATTTTCTGACGAAAGATGAATATTCTATTTAAAACTTTAACAGTCTTTCAAAGAAGACTACGAACCTAAATGATTTTTAACATAGGACGGGTAGTTGTTGGGTTGGTAGGTGTGTAAACCCATTCTGAGAGGAAGGTTGTCAAATGACATACCACTGGAAATTTCTTCCTGTTATTTTATGTTTAGTTATGAAAGCTGTTTTAAGGAGTGAAAGGAATAAATTAGAATTAAGATTTTTTTCCAGGCTAAAATTTATATCAGCCTAAAAAATAGTGCATCCTTTTGTGTAGTTGCTTTGTATTTAGGTATGTAATGCATATATGCTATTAATTTTTTATCACCGTTTATCCCCCTGTAGACCCTTCCTTCTCTACCTCTCTCTAGCCACCTCCCCCTGCAATCATTCACTGTCTTCCGTGTCCAGGAGTATATGCTGTTAATTTTTATTGATTAGCATGTATCTGGAGAAACTGTTGCTAGGTGTGTATTTTGCATACTGCTGGTTTATAATATACATGGTTCAAAACATTAAAATAATAAATATGTCAAAGATAAATTTTGCTGACAGAGATTCAGCAAAAGAAATACTTGCAGTACTATTAAATGCTTTAACAAGCAGTGTATCTTCACCATCTTGCCGTTTGAAATCATTTTTTCCTCTTGAGTGCTTTAATATGTAAATTATGTTCCAATAATGGAAATTTATCCTTTTTTATTCTCAAAAACAGGTTGTACCAATAAAATTGGCCAAGTATATAAATTTTCATTAATATGCTAAACGTTGTGTTTTCACAGTCTCCCGTCTGGTGCAGGATTCTTATCAGGGCCTTAGGAGTCATGTTTCAGATCTCACAGTCCTTAGGGTTAACCCAACCCTGAGACTTATATAATACATACTTGTTTTGTAGCCCTGTCTGTCCATTGACATTCTAATGGTTGAAAGTTAGTAGACAAAAGCCATTCCTCAAATTCCTAGTCTTATCCAACAAAGAAATCAAATTTTAAGCACCTCAACTGTATGCATGGTTTTTCCTTAGCTCGGTTTGCTGAGTTCCTTCTCACTTGCTGCTACCAAGGATTTTCAGCATGAACATGGAAGTGCCTGTCTTTAGCCTTCCAGAGTGGGAAAGGCTCCACTCACAGCCCATTGTTCATGTAGCATTGTTAGGCTTTTTTGTTGTTGTTAATCCTCACCTGAGGATATTTTTCCATTGATTTTTTAGAGTGGAAAGGAGAGAGAGAAAAACATCGATGTGAGAAAGACACATTGATTGGTTGCCTTCACACACAGCTTGACCAGTGCTTGGGATCGAGTTTGCCACAGAGGTACATGCCCTTGCCTGGAATCGAACCCGGGACCCCTCAGTCCCCAGGCCGACGCTCTTTCCACTGAGTCAAACCGGCTAGGACTTTGCTCCCCCACTAATTTGAGGCCCCTCATTTAACCATTGTTGGCTAGCCAGCAACTCCTAGTGATAAAGTGGTACAAAGAGCCATCAATTGCGTGTAATGGTGCTTAGCCACACTTCAGATTAACTTTTAAGATTTGGGGGAAAATACAGGTGTCCCCCAAAAATGTATGCATACTTAATAGCTGATTGCTCAATTTTGAAAATGAAATGTATTTTAATAAACAATGCCTTTATTCAAAGTGTATGTATACATTTTGGGGAGACACCCTATATATATGGCGGGTTAGCCATAGGAAAGTAACAGAAAACTTGGCAGAGATACCATGAAAGGGCACAATATGGACCACGAGTGAGAAGGAGCAAACCGGCAGTTTCTCGCAATGCCTGATTCCTCACAGATTTCCAGTTCCATGATATGAGTACATCCCTAATAAACACCTCTCCCTACCTTTTAAAGGTGACCCTATGTTGAAATCTATGTGTTGAATCCCAAACATAACTCCCAAGTTTAGTTTCCTCACTGAAATTCAAAAGAATTAGTTCTCACCTTGGGCAAGTGAGCCTTTAAATATATATACTAATATAATAACAAAATTATCTTTAGCTCTAATTTTATAAATTTTTGTTTTTATTTTCTAATTATCATACTCCTGACAAGAAATCTGTTGCCTTTTCTTAGATGTTGAGGACATGTTCACTTCCAGATCTCTCAAAGCTGTTCAGAACACTGATGGATGTTCCCACGGTAGGAGATGTCCGGCAAGACAACCTTGAAATGGATGACATTGAAGACGAGCACATTAAAGAAGGACCTTCTGATTCTGAAGACATGTGAGCGCGAAGTCATTAACAGAGAGTAACACTAACAGAGTTTCTGAGTTTATAAATGTTCTACCTGGACAGTTTCTAAAAATTATCTCTAGCTAACTTTTCACTACTCCTTTAACTTTTTATAACATATTTAAACTACAGTCATGCAAATTTTGATATGTATTACTGCCTCAACCTAGTATGGCTTAATCTCACTTGTAGAATATAAGAAAATAGTTTCTCTTGGTGTTCCCTGTCTTATTCACCACTTAGCATCCAGCATAATGGCTTGCACCTGGTAGGTGCTTAATAAATATTAAGTGAATGATTGTTAGCAGAATAATGACTGTTTAATAGTGCAACACCACACGATATAGGGGTTGTAGTGGGAATTTATGAAGTGCTTACTTACTACACTACAATTCCCCAGGAAGATGACCAGAAAGCTCCATCCTCATCTATCTCCTGATGGGAATGATTTCAAAACCATGGCAGTGGGGAGTTAGTGGGTGGGATAGTTGTTTGGTTGTGTGTGTGCACTTGCTTACATGTGTGTTCTACATGTAAGTAACTTAATTGCTTTCACAAAATTCCTTTCTTCATGATTCATAGGGAATCTAAAATCTAGCAGGGTCATTTAACCAATACTTCTGAGAATGGTTGGAAGTGATGGCCCTTTAGACAGTAATCCCGCTTCACATTCTTTGATATCAGTTAGTCCTCTTACCCCTCAGACAGTGTTACAGATTTTGGGGGGGAAATAAAACCAGGACACCCTGGAATAAAGTGTTTGAGAAGGTACAGTGTATTTAAGTCACCAGGAAATACATTACAAGATATTAGAATTTGGGTGATTTATTTTCTGATTTTTTAATTAAATTTTCTCCTTTTTCACCTCTGCCATTTAGTAGAAAGAACTTGTGTTTTGGTCTGATTGAAAGCATTAGATCAGTCTCACCATTTCCCTTCCTATAATATTTGAGCCAGGGTTACTTCATCTGCTGTATTTTATTTTCTCTCTTTGTTTTTCTTAAGTCTTACCCCTTCTTAAATTTCTAACCAAATTTTATTTTTAAATGCTGCTTTCTTTTTTAAAAATTTTTATGGGGTTCTGTAGAATTTTGCTGGTACCCTCAAAATTTAGAGAAAAAGTTACCTTTTTATCTTTGTTTTCTTCTGCTTAACTCTGGTCATTAAGCATTTTAACTATCTTTTTATTATGCCTATTGGAGAACACAACATTTCAGCATCTTTATGGTTGACAAAGTGCTAGGTAGCAGTTTTTTCCTCAGTTTTTATAAAGTCATCCATTTTTATCTGAGTAAACTATAGCTTAATTGTGGCTTATGTTCTTTTAATTACTAGTTGATTACAATTTTATTTTAAAATTTAAGTTAGAAGCCTTTAACATGATTTTTTAAATTTGAAAACTAATATTTTTTTAAGTAAGTTAATCCATGTCTGTACAGGAAATTTCACTTGATGTTTTCTTTGGGAGGAAAATTAATTTATTTAAATCCAAACTTTACTCAAAATTGACTGATAAGAAAGCCTACTAAAAGGTGAATTTGGGACCAGGTTTTGAAGTACCTGAGACAAATTTTGAAATGTTCATTTCATAGAAGATCATAATCTCATTTTTCCTTGCAATGGCAGACTTAGCAGTCCTGCTTATTTTACTACCATTAAGGAGGCCACTAGTTCCTCTAGGCTGGCCACTAGAGGGTTTTATCCACAGGTCAGTGTTCAGTCATTGTGGTAATGGTACATAGCAGATGTGCCTGTTATGCTACTTTTGTAATTAAATGTAGTAAGTTAAGTGCTACTAGTAGGATGATCCAAAAATATTAGATACTCTCTTTTCCTCATAGATGCTTTGCTTTTCTATAGCTACTACAAAGTCAAAGTGTAGGAGTTTGTACACATAAGTACAAAATAAAGCTATTTCTACATTAAAGATTATTTTCTTTTTCTATTAATGGAAATTTTATTTTCTGTCTCACATAATACTGTTGATATTTTAGTTCTTCGGTAAACATTTGTCTATTTGATCGGAGTGTTAACTTTAGGAAAGGCGTTAACCTATTTGCATGCCACTTTAGGAGAAAGAAGCAAATCATAGGAGAGATAACATTGTGAGTATGAGTACGTTTTGGGGGTATTGTAGAAGTGGTCACAGGATTTAGAATTCCGTCCTATAATTGTCATTTATTGACTGTGTGACCTTGAGTAAGTCATTTAAACACTTTGATTCACAGTTTTCATGTCTCTTAAGTGAGTTTTATGTGAATAAGATTTAAATAATAGGATAAAACTAAAGTACTATATAAATGTATAATACTATTTGCATAAATTAATTCATTTCAGCATCTATATTTCCATGAAAATAGAATTAATATCCTGAGCAATTTCTTGGAAATAGGATTCCCCACATAAGATTATTATGGTTAATGTATTATAATTACAGTAAAGTCTACTTATATACTTTAGGAATATTTTCAAGAATAAGGATCGAAAGATAAGACTTCTGGTGACCATTTTATTTACTAAATCATCCAATTAACCTGAACATATAATTCCCTAAGTATTTCCATTTCTAAGAGTTCAGATGCCCAGTGAGGGTTTATATGGAAAGCTTTTTGTATAGTGTGCAATTATTATACATCCATACCAAGATTTTGCTGAACTTTCAAAATTACATAAAAGAAAAGTTTTGGAGTATTAAGTGTTTGAGTAGAAATACATGGGCTTTAGTAGTGTTTAATTTTTTAAATTTCAGTGTGTTTGAAGAAACTGACACAGATTTACAAGAGCTTCAGGCCTCTATGGAGCAGTTACTCAGAGAAGAACCTGGGGAGGAATATAGCGAGGAGGAAGAATCAGTCCTGAAGAACAGTGACCTAGAGCCGACTGTGAACGGGACAGATCCAGCCGATGAGGAGGACAATCCCAGCAGCGAAAGCGCTCTCAATGAAGAGTGGCACTCGGGTGCGTGATCACGATTGGGGTGGGCCTTTTCCTTTTTCAGTGTGTACACATATTTCAACTAGAGTATGTTTTTCTGATATCTAATATGAACCATTTCCAGTTTTATTTTTTGTTATTTTTATTTTTTAATATATTTTTATTTATTTCAGAGAGTAGGAAGAGGGA